TGATGAAGCACTTCAAGAATTCAAACCTGGAGATGAAAAGTCATATTTTCGGGTGGGCCATTTTGGACTGAATGGACTTTTGGGACCTTGCTATTGGCAAGGCTGTACCCTTTCTGTATCTGGGCAAATTTTGTCTGTTCTGGACCCTTATCAAATATACTGAGAGGATACATTTTGTTCTTTTCTTTATGCTCTCAAATCACCTCTCCGCCACCCACACTTCATGCAGGGAGAATTCCTCCCATACAATCGCCCACGAGACACTGTATTTTCACTGTGCTTTCCATGGCGCCCGCTCGTTCACAGCCGGCTTACTCCTACCCTGTGCGAGAGCTAGCCCTGATCACAATCAGGACATCCACATCACTCACCTCTCAGGGACTGAGCACTGACCTGGCGATAAGCCACAGGGGGGCATCCGTGCCATGGTAACCCTTGGAAACCCGGCTGACTGAAGACCAGCCTGCGCTGGTGGTACGGCGCCGGTTTGATGTACTGTGGACTCCCACTCATGGTCGGCTGATGACATTTCCCAGCATCACGCTAGTGTTGTCTAAGCTACAGCGCCCAGCCAACCCTCAAAGCAGCTGCCTCACAGACTGAGCCTTTCATGATCCCTGAGATCTTTATTTTTTCACACCCGCAGTCTAATCCTGTTTTAATACTTTGACTGAACTCCTGTTTTTCTCCCCATTTGGTAAGCCCAATCATTTTCCCTGTTTGGGGCAGCACTGACATGAAGGCACTGTCCTTCCAAATATATGATGTCAGCTGCTTGTTCTTCTTTTTATACCATAGTCACAGTCTGTAAACCTGAGTCCAGACATGGGTCTGAAAAAGGCACTTCTCCTGCAGATAGACTGGGGCACCTGCCTGGTGAGCAATGAGACATGGACATTCCCACAGACAGAGTCTCTTCCTCCCTGGGTGAGGCTCACCCAGTGAAGCAGCAGGCCACAGTCAGCCCTGGCATGGTCCAAATTTGGTGCCACACCACAGAGCCCATCCATAGGCTGGAGCAATGGACCATCCAGCATTCCATTCCATTTGAAACCTGGGTGGAATTTTACAAAGCACGATAGGATTTAGCTGTTTAACCTTTAACAACTGAGGATTTAGTCTAACTAAATATTATAAAATTTTAAAAAATCCAAAAGTAAAACCTTTGTCCTTAAATCCTGTGTTATGAGTTACCCATCAGATTGCATCAATAATAAAAACCAATCATATCTATATTATACATTTCAGAATAACCCCAAAGCATTTTACAGTGAAGAGGTACGTAGCTTACTTCAGCTACCAACAAAACTTACTTTATAGTTAGATTTAATTCTGCTGAGCTCGTGTCATCCAGATTGAAATGTATTTCTCTTTCCTACCTAGAGTTTTCTTTCTTATTTGTGTTGTGAAGCCCACACAGGGGAATTGCTCCACACTCCATCAGCCTTAACTCTGGTTTGGAGAACAGATTCTCAGGAGAGGATAACACTCTGTCGGGGAGAATGGTAGATACACCATGTACCAGCCTTTTGTTCACAGCCTCCCAGTAATTCAGTGAATCTGGTCCTATAATTGTAAAAAAAAAAAAAGTTCAGTCACACTCCTGACAACAAATCATGGTCTAGGAAATGTCTCGATTGAGATATTCTAGATCTAGTGATTCCCAAAGAATCAAGTGAGTCTTCTGGCCCATGGACCACAGATAGCTCATGAGAGGAAAAGTCAGTCCTGCTTACAATATTGACAATGTCATACAACACTTTGTATCTCCATAAAATTGAAATCTGAAGACAGCAAAAAAAAAAAAAAATCTGTTTCATGAGTCCATTTGCCACCCTAATTATAATATAATTATGGATAAGTCTTATCTGGCTTCAATCCAACTTTATGAAAGACTGGGCTGAAACCAGGCATTTGCAGCGTGTGAAAAGAACACCCGTCCTCGGCAATGGACATGTAAGGTTTATGATGACATTCATGACATGCTAATTTTATTTAAATGGTTAAGGAGACTTCTGAGGTCTTCATAATTGTTCCAGTGATCCATGAAAAGAAGTTTAAGAGTCACTATTGGGCAAATCTTATCACTATTTTTCTGAAAGAGTGCCCTCCATGTACTGTATCACTTCTACATTCCGTCATTCCTTTAAAACTATAAACTATATCTTTGCCTGTACTTTGATATAATACAAAGGACAAAAAAATGTAATTTCATAGAAAATTGCTTTTTGTGAATGGATTTTTGGATGATCATTTTCATATCTTTAAATTAACTAACATTATGTCCTACGGACTTTAGGTATAATTTGTGTACCCAAGGGCACATTGTGCCCATTCTCTATAGTCTGGTGATTCTTTTTCTTGATTAGCCATCAGGACCTATTGTCATATTTGTCATTCTTTTTTGATTAGGCGCATTGTTATATTCTGACAGAACTGATTTAGAAATAACAAACTCAGATGTGACCCTTTTTCAGTTCATTCGTATATATGAGAAATAGTTTTTTTTCCCTCTTCACACTTCCCATTTTTTTTGTTTTATGCTGGACTTACTGTTTTAGCATATTGGCTTTGGTGTCATTAGTGTTACCCCCACACAGTTCAATGAAATGTCCAGGAGGTCAAATTGAGTTAGTATGTATACATTCATACTGGGTGTTAAACCAAGCATTAAAACCATAAATATGTGTGATATTATAGTGGGCATAATATAAGTGACACATTGAAACTATACATATGGGTGACATACAAGGTAAGCCAAGCATTTAAACCATAAATATGTGTGAATTATATAAGGTGTAATGTATATATTTTATTCAGCAGATGTCCTTATGCAGACGAATGTACAGGACCATCAAGACATGACAAATTATATTTAACATACACTGCTATACTACCTAACAAAGACAAACATAAGCCAAATCTTCTGTTTTCTCCACGCAGAGATTTGTTGTTTGTATATTTGTATTGTTATTTCCCTGTTACAAAATCGTGGAGTTCTGCTAGGGCTGCTAGTGTGCATATTGATTTCTATTGATTTTTTTCTTTCTTTATCATTCAATTTACTTGACAGGTTAATCAATAGGTTACCGATAGGTTGGATCCTATGTTATTCACATCGCTGGTCCCTGGCACTATACTTCCATCCTCTAGGGTATTTTTTTTGCTCTTCATCCCCAATCTATGCACTTGACATCATGTTGTAAGTGGCCCTGGATAGGAGTGTCGATTAAATGCCCATATTGTAATGTAATGTAGAGCTCTGATCCTGTACCATTGTCCTGGGCTACTATAGGGCAGCAGTGTCACACTCCTGAGGATTAAAAGGCAGGACAAGAATCCGGACACTGAAGTCCTCAACTGTCCATGCACGCAGAGCGCCCTCACTCGACTACACTCATGGAACTGCACCTCAGATGGAGAGGGCCTCGTGACAGGGATGCCCGGTTCTCCAGCCGTCCAGGGAAAGTCTCCTTGGGTGAGGCAAGGGCAGGGAAAGCACTCACAGGCTGAAGAGAAGAAGCGCTGCAAGGGCACTCTGACGATGTCCCTCGGGAGGGCTGAGATTGCCCCGGAGTCATGGGAAAAGGCTTATTCGGGACCGTGACACCTGCCGCAATTTGATCACGGTAGGAGCTGCCACTGCTGTTTTTTTTATGTTATTCCGGTAAGGAATGTGTTCGCTGTACCTTCCTGTGTGTGCCGTGGGGGGGTCGTGGGGTTTCCCACCATCCACCATCCTGTAATGTTAACAGACATCTGTGTTTCCCTGCTGATCACCCTCTCTTTGTTACCAACCCCCCCCTCCATGCAGACAACTGTTTCTTGAGGCACCCATTTGGCTGGCTCACTCATCTGGTTCCTTGTCTTGTCAGCCCTGTGGCTATTGTCAATCAATGGATCCATCTGTGAATGTGGTTATCTAGTCAGATAGGCTTACAAGGCCATGGTGTCATTTGAGAAACATCTGTTTTATGGGTGCTGGGATCTGATAAAGCTCTGCATTGCGCAGGGAATTTAAGGAGAGAAGCAAGGATCACTCAGAGAATTTCCAATATGTGTGGTTTCTGTATGTCTGTGCCTGTCTATCTTTTCTAATGTTTACTTACTTTGTTTTGCTCATTGTAAGAAAACTATTTCAGGCAACTGGCCATCATTCAGTTAAGACAGCCAATAAAGTATCGCACTTCCGTGGGACCAATTTAAAATCGTCACACCTCAGAAACAAAGACAGTCCAAGCTGCTGTGCTGAAAGGGTAGCATGGACAGTGCAAATAGATCCTCCACTGGAGAGACCTCCAGATCCTGTCCCATAATGCAACACATCAGCAAAGATAAACCCCAGTCCTGAAGGGTTGCAGGGTGCGCTGAAATTCGATGTCAATCAGCAGGTAAATGATTGATTAAAGCAGCTGATTACTGTAAGCTTGAGCTCAGATGAAGAATGAGGACTTTTGAGATCCATCCAGCTACACTTTAGTTCAACAGAAGCTGAAATGAGTCATTAAGTTGATTTTTTTTTTTTAGCCCCCAAAGAATCCCAGTTCCCAGAATAAACTGCACTTTCACTGGCATGATTCCAAAAGACAGAAAGACCATGTGGCCTAATGGATAAGGCGTCTGACTTCGGATCAGAAGATTGAGGGTTCAAGTCCCTTCATGGTCATAAACACCTTAAATATAACCTGCATTCAGCAGATGTTCTTATCCTACACAACTGCTTCATATCAATACTGCTATCTGATAACTATTCACAATTGCTTCTTAGAAATCTTAAACATGAGCATTGTTCTCAGAGCTTAGCAGAACATAATATTTAAAAAAAAAACAAAAACTCATAACAACCATGTGTTGCACAAAACGTAAAGAGGTGCTCCTGTTTAACTTTCCCATGGAACATTCTTTCATACCAAATCGTGAATGATCTATTCCTCAAGATTATCTTCTATTTGACTATCTACTCTAGATGAGTGCACCTTGTCTCCCTACAACCATGAAATGACCATGTGGCCTAATAGATAAGGTGTCTGACTTCGGATCAGAAGACTGAGGGTTTGAGTCCTTTCATGGTCATTACTGCTAGCTCTAAATGGATGAGCACATCAATGGCACTTGAAAGCACCCAAAATTATTGTTCACACTCCAACATGACAAAGCCTTACAACTATTCCACAATAGCATTAGTTAAGTGTTCACTATGATTGGTTGGAAAGATGAACAAATATCAAAGCCTTTTGCTTTGACACAAATGATTAATTATTGTAGGCATAAGGTAGCTGCAACTGTTTGTCCCATGACACCATCATCTGATAGACCATGCAGTCTAATGGGTAAGGTGTCTGACTTCAGATCACAACATTGAGGGTTCAAGTCCCTTTGTGGCCATTATGGGGTTAACATATATTCTATAACATATTTTACTACTTCAAGGCAGAACAAAATGAATGATTTGAACAGTACTGCTATGTCATCAGCTAATAGGTCAGTGCATTAATTGTACAGCTTTGCAATAATTTCAAATGGTGACACAAATCATACAAAGCTAGGACTAGCCTCAGGTAGACTGCAGCCAGGCTGAACTTATCTTAAAAACGTTACACTATACCTTGTGCAATATGCACTCTACATAGTATTTACCCTATACAGATAAATGCATCTTACTGCATAGCACACATTACAACTATTAAACTTCACATTTAACTGAGATGTACAGTACATTTTCAAATTTAACACACAAGACAATTATGTTCACCTGTTTGTTCTTTACAAATCCTTAAAAAAATTGATTTACTCATCTTGCAAAAGGAAGGGACAAAATAACCAACACACAATAAGGAAGCAAACAGTAACTCAGTGTACTTTATTCTCCTGTTCTCTAAAGCTGAAAGCACACACATTACAGAAACAGGTAGCACTGAGGAATGGTCACAGTTCCCCATCCACACAACATTTCTACCCCATAATTTCCCTCAGGATGTACAAAATAATCACAAAGGCAAGAAGTCAAAAGTTTAAAAGAAAAAGAAAAAAAAAAAAAAAAAAAAAAACATGTAACCTTGATCAAAGAACCAGACTTTAGGCAGCTGGAAAAGATTAGCGATCATGACAGTCATGTACAACCAGCTCTTCCTCTTCAGCCCGGTCACAGTGCTTAAGCCCCATGACATGGTAATGACCTGCTCAGCTCAGAAAGGCACATGTTCAACATCCTGATTGGACATGGCAGGTAGGCGGGACAAGGGGGAGGGGGTGGAGTTAGGGCTGCAGGAGGAGGAGTTAAGGGGGCAAAAGGGGGCAGTGCAGAAAGGAGAGTGGCCAAGGAAATCTCGACACATTGGGACTGGTAACTGGACACGTACCCCCACACCCTCAATATGAAAAGATTGTTAAGTGAGCTGCTGGTAAAGAAGCAAGCCAGCCAGCTTTTATGAAACCAATGCCGGCTATTGCCGAAAGATCTTAAAACAGACCTTTTTTAAAAAAAAAAAAAAAAAGAAAAAAAAAAATTTGTGTATATTTTTGCCTCCTGTCCATATGCTTTTTTGTGCCTGTAAGAAATGCAACTGGACACCTTTACAAAAGAATTCGGCATAATTTCTTGTGTGTAACCGGCAAAGGTTTTCACACACAAAAAAAGGGGAACGCAAGGAGGAAAGTGGATATCTGGAAGAACAATGCCTGGCAAATAAAGTGTGGATAAATTCCAAATTAAGAGTAAGCAGAGGTGTATAGAGCAGTTTTGGAGCACAGGGCAGTAGGCCCAAAAATGCGCCTTCCACCCTCACCCCTCTGCTTGCCATACTCTTCACAGCCCATTACTCGAGGAGAGTTCACCTCATGGAGAAAAAATAAGCGGCAAACGTTTTGCTCCTCTTACTTCATTTGCATAATATGGCTATAAAGAATGTAAACATCACAACTGCCGGCAATTAAAAAAAAAAAATTATAAATTTGAAGGAAAAAAAGGTCAATTTTCCTCAACCAATCTGACAATTTGTAAGTATATATATATAAAAAAAAAAAAAAGTATCGTCTTTGACTGCTGTGCGTCTGTTTTCGATGGGTCGCCACACTGACATGTCATCTCAGTGCGGCGAGTCACAAGTGCTTATTCCTGAAATGCAACAGATATACAAGTTCCCCAAAGTATGATTTCAGCATGGCGAGGGGGGGGTGGTTAAAAACAGCCCTGTTTAATTTTTTTTTGTGCACTACAAATACACCCAATTACCAGTCAGAGGTGCCTACCACACTTTAGAAGCCAGAGTAAACCCCCAGGCCTGCCTGCCACATCCTGTATATGAATTCCTTACAATCCTGTCCCCCCAGAAAGACCAAAAGTACAGAAAAAGTGCCAGGGGAATGTTTGATACCTTTTTATTTTTTCATTGCAGTGGAAAAATAGAACCTTTTACAAATGCTTCCATTTCTTTATTTTTTTCTTAAACAAGCGCCGTGAGTACTAATTCCAGCTAAGTGCAGCGAAGAGACAAACACAAATGGAAAGATTCGTAATGAAAGCATAAAAGGCCCAAACTACTTTTTATAACAAGAATAGTTTTTCCTTTTTTGTTTAAGTGTATTTTGAACTGCTTTATTGACTAACATCGTTCTTTCCAAAATAGGGCCCCAGTTTATCTCAGTCTTTGGCACACTACTTTTTTTTTTATTTTTACTGGAATTATTAAAAATTGGGGAAATTTCCTAAGTGTTACCTGTCAAAATTAATGCCTTTCATATCAGCTGCAAATATGTTCCTTTTTGCCTTGAGAACCAAGCACATTAATTGAAAAAAATTTGAACATTTGCTTTTATGTTCACAGTTTGGAATTGAGAGGCAAGAAAGATTTCTTGTTTTGTAAGAAGCCTACACAGGGGACAAGAACCCCCCCATTTCAAACCTTGTTTCTCTCTCGGTCTCTCTAAATAAAGGTCTGAACATGTTAGCGATTTTCTTGAAGAAAAAAAAAAAAAAAAAAAAAAAGAGCGATCAATTTCTCAAGTGCTGCCATTACTCGACACCCCTCACACGATGTGTTGACTGTATTTGCATTGAGTATTTTTTTTGTTTTTTTTTTTTTTGTATTTTTTCTATTATAGGGAAGTGAAGAGAGTGGAGACCCCTCTCACACCCACACAAACACACTTGCTTCTTATGGCCAGGCCAAGTTTAGCAGGTCTCCCACGCATTTACAAGGCTCGTAGGCTTACACACAGGTTAAAGGAGCCGGCCCCACCGCTGTTCCAACTTGTAGTCTCCTTTCTCCTTTGTCCCCTCCCCCATTTTTAGCCATTTCTTCAACTCCAGCAGCCAAACCAATTTTTTTTTGTTGTTGTCCAGAATCATCGTTTGTTTTTCTCTCTTTCAATTAAAATGCTGTATTGTTTTTTTTGTTGCTTGTTTATCTTTTTTTAAATTCTCAGATCTCCATTTGAAGTCCTTGCACCAGAAGTGCTTGTAAAAACGTCTTCCACAGACCAGTCAGAGCGAAAAAAAAAAAAAAAAGTCAAAGTCCTTTTTTTGTTTGCTTGTGAAAAGAAACTCCAAGTTTGGCAGTTTTTTTTTTTAAATCTACTCTGGTAATCCTTTTTGCTTGTTTTTTTTTTTTTCCTGTGGCTGACATAACCAGTTTTAAGAGTTCTTTGAACGAGCTGGCTACAGCTTGTCGAGATTGGTGATGTCCGTGTGGCTGTGTCTGATTCAGTCTGGTGGTGGTCGAGGGCGGGCGGGCGGGCGCACGCGCTGGAGCTGGATCTATACTCAGAAGGTGGTATGGTAAAGCCTCACTCACTCTTACATTCAGACACACTCTTCACTTCTGCTTTAACTGGTTTGCGAAAAGACAGAAGAAATTTCCAGTGGAGCATTCTCAGCATTTTTTTTTTCCTCCCCTCCACAGGCTGAAATCTGTAAGAGGAGGAAGGAGGGAAGGGAAGGGTAGGGAGAGAGTAAGAATTGCATATTAACAACAAATTATGGAGTACGTCTGCATGAATCACTGTCTGAACGAGGCACTGTGATGATGATAAGCAGACGAGGCTTGGCTGTGTTCAGTAACCTCGCCGGATATGACCAATCATTTTGCTCTGGGGTAAAACGGCAAAATCATTTGACTGGTTGAACCATGACCGTTTCATGACTGACAGCCAAATACACCTGCCCTTGGATGTTCCTGGTGTCAGGATACCTAAATTCACTGATAGTTCATTGATAGTTTTCCAAAGTAGTGACTGCTCACGATGAACTCACAACCATCATGTACTTCCATTACACAAACAGATTATACTCTGTTGTTGAATAATCATTTCACAGCACCGATTGCATATTTGCATGCGGTAAGATTGGCGCTCAAGCATGTTATACAACGGAATACATCTATAAGCATGAATGTTACATAAAAGGTCTTACATTACCATAGTAACTGCTGTTATAGATTTTACAACATCTACAGTGTTTCATATGTCAGTATGTAAATTAGCGACAGTTAAGCGAGCCGCAACACTTCTCCATTATTCATTTCCACACCTCTTGTCAATGCAAGAAATATGGAAGGGGTAGTACTCCCAAACAAAGGTGGAGTAGACAGATAGAGGTGATGTTTCACACACTGCATGACAAGATACATTTTTAAAAAGCTGGCTCAGTTGTTCATGCTAGCATGTTGAAGACTAGTTAACCCTCCTCAGAGCTAGACCTGAAACATAAAAAAATTTGATTGAACTTAAAGCACTATTTTGGTCTTCCAACTGAACAACTGACATCAGGGTTCAACTGTCAAAGTCCTTAAGAAATGTTTCAAAACAGGTAGCACTTTGTGGATTATCAAGCATCTCTATTCCTGATTACAGAAGTCACATTCTCATTGCTCATTTTTAGACATGAGCCCCAGAGCCTAATTTACTTGCGCAAGAGACACCTGAAAGGGAAGTCTGGCTTCTACCTGGACGTTCCTGGTGGAGTAAGTTACAGTGATACTGATTTCATGAGGCAAGTTCTGTAACTGCACTGCAGAGTGGATGCTGCAACACTTTGATTTATTTGCAAAGTTCAGTCAACCAGCCCCATATTTTGG